TGATCCTTTATTTTGTATATGTTTTGTACATGTCTGTCAGTTTGATGCATGTACATTTGAGTATTCAGGCACATTATATGATGATGTTTCAGATATGTTTACGTGTTGGATTGCATACTGTTAGATATAGTGGCACTGAGCCAAGTTACGCATGCGCCCATTGATGGGCATTTGATTATATTTGTATAAACTGTTTATCAGAAAATGTTTTTGGGTGAGATTAGAAAACCCCAGTTGTCCGATTAATAGAGGAAACTCTGTCCGATTTTTCGCTTATGACGAATGAGAATTTAAAAAGAAAAAGAAAAAAGTTAGCTCGTATTTTCATAAGTTAAGTCTTCCGCTATTTTTTGTTTATATCATATGTATGTTAATTGAACCAGCTCGAGACGGGGATGTTACAGCAGAGTGCGTCATTAGACCTCGGCACACGCCTTAAAACCTCTACCTCGACCAAGTTTACACTTTAAACAGCTGAAGCACAAACATGGCCCCTGTAAGTCGGAGACATGGATAAGTCTATGGGAAGAGCAAACTGCCCCAAAACCCACTGCGGACTCAAGATGATATCTCGGCACGATAGACATGTTAATTAAGCTTCTACACCCCGACAGTCCAAGCTTCCGAACTGCGGACCTATAGACTGGATCCATATCTCAGCCACATATCCAATAAAAGATCAGGATTTATCTCAATCTTATCACAATAACATAATCCAAGGAGGATCAAAGAATAAGATCCTTATCCCCAAGAAATAAGGCAGCTATTATATCAATCAAGGGATATCTAAAGCCCAAATCCACAAAGGTAAACACTATAAATAAGAGGCTAAAGACCTCATGTACACACGTTTGATCTATTTACTATTGCTGCTAACATTGTGCACACACCCACGCCTTGGCTATAAGCCTATTGTCTGTGCGCAGTGATTGGTACATTGGCTTTAAGCCAATAGGATATCTCTTTATTAGTTATCTCTTAGTGTATACCTTTACAGTATAAATTCACGGTTCACTAGAACCGAACATGTGCTAACTTTAACACAATGCCCTATCAAGATCAAAATTCGTAAAGAAAAATCTAAATGTCATCTCCATTCATCATAATTTAATCCAATAACTAATTATATTATGGCATTGTTATCATTCATATTAAAATCATATTTATTACATAAATGAAATGATATTAATTATAGGCAATAAAGTAACTTTATGGAAATACTTAACATATTATAAACTCTCATTTGGCCAGAGTATACAATACACAATTATTTCATATTATATAAAATCTTATCTTCATGTAAGTTTCAAAAAATTGCTGCATACAGTAACCACTTTAGGCAGATAATTGCAAACAATAATTTTTTTAGTCATAAAGAACTCTAACAATTCACAAATAATGCTCCAAAAAATCATGCCCAAATAATATGAAAATCATTATAACCTATTTTTTCAAAATTCATATTGCATTTACTAAACTACAAATTTTGTCGCAAATTCGAATCCCTAATATTAGCAATTATATACCTTAGCTCACTAATCAAATTCTTAATTGACAAAGCACGTAAAATCTACGCTAAATTAGCGAGTAATTACTAGGATTATAACCACCATAATCTATAATAATTTTTCATTAATTAAAATATGAAAAAAGGAACATAAACATTTATGTTTGTCAAAAGTTAAAATATGTATTTCAAGAACATTGAACAAGAAATTATTTAAAGACACTTACAAATTGATTGAAAGAAAAATTAATAGAAAAATATAATTTAAGGAAAAATACGAATGCATTAGCATAAATTAGAGGAAAATATATACCTTCAATTCAAACAAGATAATGAGACCAACATAATAGTACATTTTCCTTTGCGAACAATGTACTAACCAAGGTCAGAACACCGGATGAGTTAATTAATGAGCATAACAAGTTGTCATAACAAGGCCAACTTAACAGTACATACCCCGTTGGGCAGAATGCGCAAACCAAGGTATAAACCAAGGCTAGAACCTTAGATAAGTTAATCAATAAGCACAACATTGAGTTTTTGAAAATCTATTCCCTTTGGGCAGATAGATTCCTAGATCAATAAGCATCCAATAACTTCATCATCTACAACCTCAAAGAAAATCTGCTCAGTGAGCATACACTGACTTCAGAGATGTATTCTCCAATAACTTCATCCTAAACAAGTTCACAAGTTCGTAGTTATAACACACAATCACCCCATTTGGGTAGGAAATTGCATGAAATAACCATAAGCATTCCTCAATTTTGCAAAGAAATTTTCCCAAACCAATATAAGTAATCTCACTTTGGTGTTAATTACCCATAGTAATTCATGAAAACTTTTACAGAAATTAATTTTCTCTTGCCCAAAACCATAATTCAGTCCACAAGAAAGTACAACATCTCTACTGATAATGAATCAAAGATAATAACATTTGCAAAATTTTTTTGTACTCAAACAATTCAAGCGAAAACATGCACCATAATAAACAAAAAATATATTATAGCAATCATATACGGTTTATTACTTTCCCAAAAAGGATATTTATTGCAATAAATTTTTTATTTTAAATATATCATAAAATTATAATTAATTATAACATCACACAAGTAATATTTGGTAAAATTAGGTCACTATTGGGCTGGCAAGTGCCTCATGCACCATAGCCCACGGATGAGCGTCACTTAAAACATCCAAATAGGTCTTCTTCCCCACCAATCAAATGATCAACCACCAAAGAAATAAGTTGCATCCATAAATAATGTCTAACTTTAAATGAAGTAGTATTCGTCAAAGCTATCATGGATTCATGCATTTTTATTCATGTTAAGTGTGATGTAACCCCATGACTATCAAATAACTTTTATTTTAAACTATTCATTCCAAATAATTTCAAACTAAAAATAAAAACACGAAGGATAATGTATTTATTTTTATCCAAATATTTTCATTGACCTAGAATCACAAACATAAAGATATATCTTCAAAACGTTCAGTCAAATCCAACAAGGGTTTCAAATCAAATAATAATAATAAATTTGACTAAATACATATATATATATAAGTACGTGTCTTTGATGTTGTGAACTCTCTTATATAACGAACAATCATTCCAAATGATTTAGAAATAAGGTCATGATATTTCCACGAAGATTAATAAACTAACAAATGTTATAATAGATAAATGAATAAGTAAATAAATAAATAAAAACTATTTATTTATTCAAAATCAATGATAACAAGATTTCCATATGCATTGAAATCTTAGAATACAAACAAATTCTCTTCCTCCATAATCATGAAATTCCCTGTCGTAATTACTAAGAGAACCATTCAAACCATCTAAGGCAGTCAAATTGAAAATAAAGAAAAACAATAAGGAATTATGAATTTTACTCATTTGCTGTCAATACATCACACATGCTTGTCATTAGAGCTGGCAAAATGAGCCGAGCCCGCCGGGCTGGCCTGCCCCGCCCACCAAATGGGGCGGGGCGGGCTGAGTTTCTCAAATCCGCTGTTCGCCAAGCCCGCTCGGGCTAATTTTTTTTTTTTTTTTTTTTTAACTTTTAGTGTAAAATGTCACAGGCTTGGCGGACAGCCCGCCCGGCCCGCCCAAATGGGGCGGGGCGGGCTGAGATATCTAGCCCATCTTCAAAGGCGGGGCGGGACGGGCCAACTCGTTTTTTGACGGGCTGGGGCGGGACGGGCAGCCCACTTTGACACCTCTACTTGACACGTTTCAATTCTATTAACTTTGGAAAGACCCTAGACACATAGATATCATTCATTATTATAATTTAATATTTCAATTATAACATGAGCATGAAAACATTGAATTACCACGCACAATAATTAGTGGAATTAGGAATTAGATTTGAAATCTTAACGGTGACTTTAATTTTGAATTTCTCTCGTCAAAATTCATGATAAAATAAATTCAAAATAATATCCTGTAATTTTGGGTTTAATTTTTCCTTATTTAAATTATACATTCAAGAACACGAGGGAAACTGGTTCAATCCCAAAGATATACTCATGTTTAATCAACCAATACTGTGTCATAAATCATGTAATCTAGACTTTGATACCAAATGTAAGAAATCACAAAATAAGATTATATGAAATTAAAACATCAAAAGCGTTTAGACTTACTTGTTAACGACATAATCCTTGATATCTCAGTTGTAGTGCTTACTCCGGTATTCCTGCAAAGGTTGAAGGGCCAGGATCTTTCTCTACAGTTTACACCACTCCCTTATCACAACTGTTGATAAGGCAAGTTGTAGAGCGGTTGTTTTTCTTTTTCAACATATAAGGATGCAAAGGGGATCTAACCAAATTTATTAACCCTAGTCCCTTTCTCATCATGAGCCTATGAGTTAGGCCTACACTATTACCCACACTAATCAGTTTACAAATATTCAAATCCAAACAAAAGGATCACTGAATTAAGCAGGTTCTATACTGCACCCTCATAAGAATCACGACTTAACCCATTTTTATAAAAACAAAAAAATAAATACAATTCATTGGGGGCTACAATAATTATAAAAAATCTAACAGTATACACATATATCAAGCTATAAGCAAATGCATGAAGTGATGTTAGGTAATGGTGATTAAAATTAGTTCTATTAGCATATTAGTTATCGAAAGTCCAATTGCTGCGCCCATAAGTTAGCCCAAACTGCCTTATCTAGGAATAAAGGTCTCGAAGTCTACCATGATGCTCCTACTTGGATGTCTCCCCATCTGTTAGAAGACATTAATCACTTAGGAAGGATATCTTCCACCGTTTCCACCTATGTAGGTGTTTAGTTTATGTTGCTATTTCTTTTCTTCTTTTTTTTTTTTTTTTGGGCTTGATGCCCTCCACATGTATATATATATAATTAATTAATAAATCAACCAGAATATGTGACTTGTTAGTGATGTAATTAATAGAACCAAACAAAACTGACTAGTGAAGTATGATATTATTACTTACCATCAGAATCTATGATCCCTTTATCAATAAGTGCAGGGATGTTGCATTGAAAGGCAAACATAGCAGCTGATGCAGGCCAGAAGAGAGCTCCTTTGATTCCCAACTTGTTCCCAACATTCAAAGCCCATCCCATATTCACATCTGCAACTATACAGCTGATTCTATCCTCACCATACAAATGAATTTCTTCTATTTTCCTCTGAAGCATAGAAGGCATGGTGCTTAGTATAGCATCAAATAACTTGACAAAATCTGTTCTGTCATCCTCAGGTCTTAAACCATCTGGGATTGAAACCAACTTTACCAGTGATTCATCAAGGCTTTCTTGTTGCTCAACCATGGAACTCACAACTCGCTTATGGTTGAAGTCTGTGTTCACAAAATAGACTTTGCATCCATTCTCAACCAACTTTTGCGAGAAGTTCATCATGGGATAGACATGTCCTTGAGCTGGACCTGGTAAAACTAGCACACTTGGAATGCTCATGTTGTATTTCTGTTGTTTCAGAGACTCTACTCTCTATATTAGCCTGCTCAATGTAACTCTACTCATGTTGTATTTGGATGGTGGGATATATAATATAATGAACCATGATAGATGAAAACGGAAAGAGATTTACAAAAATATTACATAAAACGAAGGAGTGACTGTTCAGTCACTTTGGAGCAAAGAATAAAGCAATTATTGATGAAAAATCTGAATCAGATCTTGATGTTTCATTAGTAATATTATTTATACATCTCTTAGTGTTAATTAACTGTCACATCAAAGATTAAAGTGTGATAATTTCAAGAAATATTTTTTACTACTAGTTTTCTATATAATAACACTTTACTAGTCGTTACTGTTCTTGTCCTCTTAGTAAATGATTGGTGGCCTTCATTCAATGTGGTTGAATTTTGATTGGTGGCCTTGTGTATATAATTGGATGCTACCAATTAACTACCAACTATCCCTGCTTCGGAGTTATTTCTGATGTGAACTTCATTGGTCTCAAATGCACGTTCCAAGTGTAATCCTTATCTATTAAGGAAAGGGTTTAAATTTTCTAAAATTAGTTTAGATAATTTTATCTAATGTTTATCAAAATACACATATAAAAATGTGTGTGGCTAATATTTTGTTTTTTCTCTTCTCTTCACACGGGTTCATATGGACCCCACATATTTTTATATATATACATTTTGGTGAACATTCTAGCCTACGATTTGATGCTAACGAACAATTTTTTTCGAAAAAGGGAATCACATCTAATCACATATCACAGTGACCATAATCGTAGTCAGATTAATTTCTTTTTGGCTGAAAGAGAAGATAGAACTTCTTGTGTCGACGGTAAGATCTACCCTGAAGAGTGTGTTGCTACGCAACATAAGCTGGTATATTCCTGGAAAGATATCTGTTGTTAAATTCAGCTCTCCATTATTAAGTGCAATATGTTCTTGGCCAAGACTCTCCTTGGTTAATATTTTTACTTTTTTATATTATTCATCGATTACTCGATTTATCCGATTCGAGCTGGATAGGACCAGGACCACAAAACTCTAGCTATCATGTTTTTAACACAAATACACTGGATTCGAATTCGAGACCCTGCGTTCCCTCCTTGATTAATACTAATGATGATTTAAAAAGACCAAATTTACAAGACCCGCTATAATTGTCTTGCTCTTAAAATCACAGTTCATAATTAGACTCATTTCAGAAACTAATATTTGGCGAAGAGAATGTCATCTTTATTATTTGACTCAACAAAGTCCATTCACTAAGCTAAAATTAATCATTTTCATCTTATGTTTTAATGCCAATTCAATTATATTTAATCATAATTTAACTATTATAAAGAAAGCATGCCATACAACGATTTCTTTATGAAAATGTCACGGTTCCAATTAGGGAAATATGAAAATTCAAATAAGGAAATGGATATAATTTGCAAATTAAACTGAATTTGCAAAAGCAAACAAGCTATATGGCCAATCCTCATTCTTTCAGCCACTTGACAAACCTGTTAAAATTCTCTGAAGAGCGACTTCCTTCTGCTATGTTGCATGTTACCTTCTCCTTTAGCATCAGGGAACTTGATCTTATGTTCTCATCACTAAGAAGTTGGTCCACTTTTGTTTTTATCTCCAAGCGTGACACCAATCCATTTTCATCTGAGTCAAATCCAAGTCCAACTTTCAACTCATCACAAATGTATTTTTTGTTAAAAAATTGGTCAGAAAAATAAGGCCAGCACAAGAAGG